ACTGGCAGGCCAGAAGGGATAGAGAAGTCAAGGGTGAATGCCTCGGACTGGGGCCCATGTCTCAGGGCCAGGCAGGCAAAGGAGGGAGAACTTCAAAACACATCTGGGGGGGGGGGGGGCGCGGGCCGGTGTTCTTGCCCAGACCTGCCTGTCTCCCCAGGGGCTGATAAGAGATGAATGAAATCACTCCTTCAAAGCAGCTGCTCAGGGACCCAAATCAAAAGGGATGGCTTGAAGATAAACTCCAGTCTACATCTCCTTTTGTCCCTCTTCCCACCCATCTCTAAAGGAAACTCCCGGGGGTGAGCGGGAGTGTTCAGTCCCCCTTTTATCAGGAGTTACCTTCCAATCCCATCCACAAGGCAATGGGCAGTGCTAGAAGTTAATAGATCAACAATCAAGAAGGGAGTTAAGAGGACCTCGCTCCACACCCCAATGTGCACTGTTTGCTGTGTGGTTTTCAACTCTCCCTTAAACTCTCAGGGCCTGTTTCTTCAAACAGGAATAATAAAATTTGCCCAAAATAACTCCAAAAATTGTTCTGAGATGAAGGCCAAAAAAGTGCATTTGGGAAAAAGATACTTCCACATGGTTATATAGTCAACATTTTAAAAACACCATCAGTCACCCTAAATCTTTTGGGAATATGGCAAGGTGAGGTATAAACAAATAGCTCTACCTGGATAAAATTCGTATCTATTCATGAACAAGCATTCCTGGGCACTTATTGCACTGAAACTGCCTAGAGCCACAACCCTGCCCTGTCTCTAAGCACACCAGCTTGGACCTTGGACAAGTAGTTTAACTTCTCTCTGCCCCGTTTCCTTCTCTGAAAAATGGGGTAGCAGGACCCGGCTGTTGGGGTTTCTGTAGCCATGGAATGAGATAACGCATGTAAAGCCTTTAAATCAATGCTTGCTACTCAATGTGATGATGGTTAAACACTCTGCTATGGGAGAAGAACATTAAGAGAATGGGGAAAACACAAAAGGATTTACAGTCCAGCGGGAGAAGAGATGAGTAAACAAATACCGGCAGACGCCTTGGATAAGTGAGATCGGTATACAAGAGAACTCTGAGAACACAAGAAGGGCTCCTGGACTGACAGAGCAGGCTTCCTGCAAGGCTGGCTTCGCTGTTTGCTTCCTCAGGTCCCTGGTGACCGGATCATGCCCCAGGCTGGATCTGAAGCCTGGGGACAGGGACAGGACACCCAGAAGTACCTCTGAGTGCCCTGAGCATACAGGGGCTCTGGGCCAAGGAGTTACTTGCCAGCTGCTGGAAGATATTAAGCGTCAGGGAGGAAAACCAAGTTCTCTAAGAGACAGACTTTTCAGAATTCTTATGACTTGTAAAAAATAAATACGTAAATAGTTACCCAGTGAAATATTACTTCATGTTGTTGCAATTAGGGTTTGAGTGTTATGCAGAGAGGTGATCATTCAGGCAATTCCACCTCAGCCAGGAGTGAAAACTACATATTAACCCCATGCAAGAAATCTACCACCTCTGGCTTCCAGCCTGACTTGGGCAGATTTTCCAGGTGGGGAATTTTATATAAATTGAAGTTGAGGGGAGGGGGGATGTATATATATTCACAATTTCCTAAAGGATTTTCTTGATGGTTGGGAGAGATGTTCAAAAAAGGCATTGAGGGCGGGGTATTTAGCTCAGTGGTTCTTCGGCCTGCCTTGTAAGCACAAGGTCCCATCCCTGCCTAGAACTAGAGGCTGGGGGAGGGGTTACTCTTGGTGGATTTGCCAGACAGCCTAGGCTCCTCTGGTCAGGTTTCAGAACTGAGATCTTCAAGACTCTGGGGCTAATGTGTCTGTCCCCCACAGCACTGCTCCCACAGTTGCAAATGATGCAATGTATCACAACCACCGAGTAGCTGGGACTTTCTTTGCCATGTCCTCAACATGTGACATGAATTGTCTGCTGGCCTCCTGACACTGAGGCAGCCACACTAACAGTTTATGCATGGAGAACCCTGAAGCTTACTGAGGTTAATTTACCTGGGGTCATTGTGGCAGCACAATTCTGAGGCCTGGCTCCCAGTCCCACCCACCTCCCACTGGCCTGTGACTTCTAGTGACCCGCCTTTCTAGTCCTCTTCAGCAGCAGCTGGGGGCGCTTACTAGCACTTGGCATGCAGAATTGTTTTTCTTCCCTGGGGTGCCATGATAGCACCTCAAGCAGCCCTCGCCCTATCCTATTTTAATGTGGCTACTCATTTCCAGGGCAATCTGAGAAGGCCTTCCCTAAAGCAAGGCCCCTTAATCATAGTCAGCCACTTTTTGGCACAGAAAGAATTTGTGCCATAGTGCCCAGTGCATTAGTGTCCCATAGGGACTTTTCAAACACATCCTAGCACGAGGCTCTGCCCACAGCCAACCCACAATACTCAGGATCCGACAAGTAAGATACTGAGTCACATTCACTCCCAGGTGCAGAGCCATTCCTCTGAGAACTGTACTTCCTTTCAGGCCACTAGGGTCCCATTTCCGGCTCTGTGTAGGTTAGCTCAGTGAATGTCAAATACGTATTGTAATAATCATCCAGCAGTGTTTTAATTAGACCTCTGGCCTGGCTAAAAATGATTTTTTTTCTCCTAAGCCAATTGAATGGATTCAGCCAAAAAGACCCTGCTGCCTTCACCAACACCCCAAAGTATGAAACCAACCCTGGGCCCCCTGCTACTCCAGGAAGTGAAACCCACTAATTACTCAGCAGGAGGAGGGGGCCAGCCTCCGAAGGACTGCTGTCTGGCACCACTGTCCCTGTCAGTGATTACTGCTGTGAGCTCAGGGAGTGAGATTTTTTGAAAAGACAAAGTTTTATTACTTAGGCAAATTCCCACCCCCACCCACAGCTTGGCAATCCTGTTCTCACTTCCTCTTCCCCCTTCCTTTCATTCATTCACTACTTTTCTTCCCCTTCTCTTTCCCTTTCCAAATTGAAAGTAAATATTCCAGTTTGCTCCTTTCTTCTCCCTTTTCTGCCACCTCCTGACCCTTTTCCTTCCATTCCAAAATGCCTTTACTCGCTCTCCCCTCCTTTCTCCCTCCCAACCTATTTCCCATTAATCATTTCTAACACACATCTGCTTGGATCCTAGTAGGACTTCTTGGCTCACTCTCCCAGCTGGGATAGTTACAATAATCACAGAGTCTTTCATCTTTTACTGTCTCCTGACCTCCTCTCTCCCGGGTTCTTCCTCCTCCGAGGTGCCTGCAAAAGACCAGCCCCTCTGCACCACCTCCTTCTGCAGTCTCTGGCTGCATGGCAGGGGCCAAAAGTCCAAATGACCTTGAAGGCTGAAGCAGCTCTGCAGGTGGTGCTGGCCATAACAGTAGGTCAGAGTGCAGAGGCTAGCAAGAGAAACCCAAACGAAGAGGACAGGTAGAGCCCACCCCAGTGAAGTAAATAAGACTAGACACCTCCCAGTCTGGCATCCCTTGCCATTTGTTTAAACCTGATTTTACCAGGATTGAAACTGTGGGAAAGGAAGCCTGTGTGATTTCTGAGAAGTCTATACAAACTGCCTCAAAACAGTACACAGCTAGGGAGCATGTTTAGTTAAGGCCTAAGAGCGCTGCCTGCTGTCTTCTCTACTGGGCACTGGTAGACAGCATAATCGTTATCGCTACGGTGGTAATTTCTTCCCTTTGAAGAACGCCTTCGAAAGCTCCTACCCCATCTTGGCATCTGTTGTCTCAAATTGCTGGTCAGAACCCAGAGCCGTGGCAGTCCAGGAGGAATAGGCCTCCAGGGCCAGGCCTGACAATCCGAGTGATGATGGGGCTCCGGAAAGCGGTCCTCCAAAGGACAGTGACCCAAGGGCGCTCCACTGGCCAAGGACTGCACAAGGAAGTGGTTACTCCGGTGGCCGGCGCACGATGAACCAGCCTGGCCTTCTTTGGAGAGGCAGACAGGGAACTTTAATGTCTGGAGCGTGACTAGGTAAGACCTCTGCCAAGTGCAAAAGCTAGCAATGCACACTTTATCCTACAGGTTTGGGAGTCCCGAGAGCATTATTTTAATCTAGAACTTTTCCTAGGAAACCCTAGTGTTTGGGAGAAGGATGAGAGTACCTATCTCCAGGGTTTGTATAGTCATGCAGCGCTGAGAAAGACAGCTGTCACCCCTCCCTGACTCCGGGATTCTTGCCTCTCCTGTGACCCAGGCCCCTCCAAAGCTTTAGCAGCGAGACGCGGCACAGCGAGGGCACTGGGCGCCTTTAGACAAGAACCTGAAGCGCACCCCAAAGCCAAACCTATACTGAGCGAGGGCGGCACAGCACTCCCGGCGCGTCGGGGCGCCGCGCTTCCTCGCGACCATCTCACCCCGTGAGGCAGTCCTTGAACTTGCAGCCCTCGGACCGAACAGGCTCAAAGTAGCCAGAGCGACGACTCACACCGCGCCCCGAGAACAGTAGGTGCCTCCGAGGCTGGGCGCTCTCGAGTAAACACGCCCGAAGAGGCCGACTGGAGAGCTGGTTGCCCGGCGCCACGCAGAGGAAGGACCAGCGATCTCGAGGCGCCGCCCGCCCCCAGGCGGCCTCCAAGAGAGGCTGGGACTCGGCGGTACCCGAGCCGGCGCCGCGAGCTCCCACTCTACTCCCCGCCCCCGCCCCGCCGGACACACGGGGTGACAGCCCCGCAGGCACGTACCCCACCCCACCCCCACCCCCCGCGGTGGGAAGGTGGAGAGGACACCGCGACCGGAAAGCCAGAGGAGGCGAGGCGCGGAGCCCGGGGTACAGGAGAAGTCCCAGCCCTCGTGGGACCCCATGGCGAGGACAGCCCCGGGGAGGGGGCGGCAGGGCGGAGCGCCGGGAGTGCAAGAAGTCCCGGGCGGCGGCCGCGCGCCGGCGAGGCCCCTTTAAGACTCTCCCCGCCCACCGGCGGCGCTGGCCTCCGCCCGCCGCTCTCCCCGCCCCGGGGTCCCGGCGCGAGCTGCGATTGGGCGGGCGCGGCGATCCCTTTGAAGTGTGGCTGCCGATCGCGGCTATTTGACGTGCGGCTCGCGGAAAGCTAAGGTTTTTGTGTGACTCGCCGGGGCTGGCGGCGGCGGCGGCGGCGGCGGCGGCGTTGGTGGAGGAGGGGACGAGGCGAGGAACGACTGCCGCCCGGCGCTCGACTCGGCGGAGCGAGCCCAACCGCCCAGGGAGCTCGCCTCCCGGGTGCTCCCCCTCCCTCCCCGCCCCCCCCCCGTGGCGCTGCCTCCTCCAAATGAGCGATTCGCCCGCTGGATCTAACCCAAGGACACCCGAGAGCAGCGGCGGCGGGAAGAGGCCGGCGGTGCCGGCGGCGGTGTCCCTCTTGCCCCCGGCGGACCCCCTGCGCCAGGCGAACCGGCTCCCCATCAGGGTCCTGAAGATGCTGAGCGCTCACACCGGCCACCTCCTGCACCCGGAGTACCTGCAGCCGCTGTCCTCCACTCCCGTCAGCCCCATTGAGGTCAGTCTTCTGGGCGCTCCCGCCCGCGCCGCCCCGCTCTGCCCACCACGGCCCGGCCTGCGCCCTGCACCCTGCGCCCCGGGGCTCCGCCCTACGCCTTAATCTAGCCACACCGGCGGGCCGACTGAGGAGGACCGGAGCACAGAGGGTTCCGAGCCCACCAGGATCTCCCCAGGCTACCCCGTGGAAGGGTCTCCTTCCAAGCTCGCGCTCCGGGGCTAGGGATTGGATTTGCTCTCCGAGTCCCCCCTGGGTCTCTCACTTTTCCTCTGGCACCCATTTCTCTGGCCGGAGGTGATCTCCCCTGGCCTCCCCCCCCCCACAATGTTCCCTTTGGAGCCCCGGCCCGGGTCCCACGCAGCCCCTCTGCCAGCCGGCTAGAGCGCTCTACCCTGCGCCAGACACTCCCGATCCCGGGTCTTTCTTCCTTCCACTTCCCTGGGTGCCCTCCCCGAGAAGAAGGAAACGAGGGAGGGCGAGAGGGAGGGAGGGGCTCCTAAGCGCCAACTGCAGCCCTGCCTTTGGAAAGCGCCTCAGCCCGCCCCCACCCCTCGGCGCCGTTGCCCGAAACCCGTCCCAAGCGAAGTTCCCCCAAACTCGTGGCAGAAGTTTTTCCCTGGGCCTAGAGGACGGGAGAATAGAAGGGAAGAGGCGGTACAAACCCGATCCCAGAGCAGACACCTTTCCCCGAGAAGGCCCTGGAAGAGCCCCTCGCGCCGCCCCTTCCCCGCCCCGCCCGGCCCGGCCTGGCCTGGCCCAGCAGTTCCTCCCAGCTGCGCTCCCCAAGGCCCTCCTCACTCGGTGGTCTCCTGGTCTCACCCCGTCTCCCTCCTCTACCGCTGTCCCCCCACAGCTGGACGCCAAGAAGAGCCCATTGGCGCTGCTGGCCCAAACCTGCTCGCAGATCGGCAAGCCAGACCCGCCGCCCTCGTCCAAGCTCAACTCGGTAGCGGCTGCGGCGGCCAACGGACTGGGAGCGGAGAAGGACCCCGGCCGCCCCACCCCGGGCGCCGCCTCCGCGTCCGCGGCCCTCAAGCAGCTGGGGGACTCCCCGGCCGAGGACAAGTCCAGCTTCAAGCCCTACTCCAAGGGCTCCGCGGGAGGCGACGCCCGCAAAGACAGCGGCTCCTCCTCGGTGTCCTCCACCTCTTCCTCGTCCTCGTCCCCGGGAGACAAGGCAGGCTTCAGGGTCCCCAGCGCCGCCTGCCAGCCCTTTCCCCCGCTTGGAGCGCCAGTGTCCGCCTCGTCGTCCTCATCCTCGCCCAGCGGCTCCCGAGGCGGTTCCCCGCACCACCCTGACTGCAAGAACGGCGGCGCGGGTGGCGGCGCAGAGTCGGACAAGAAAGACCCAGAGCCTAAGCCCAGCCCAGAGCCCGCAGCCTTGAGCCGCGGGAGTGGCGCAGAGCCCAGCGCACATGGTGGCACCGAGGCTGGGGCCTCCGGGCGCAAGTCTGAGCCGCCCTCGGCTCTGGTGGGCACCGGCCACGTGGCTCCAGTGTCGCCCTACAAACCTGGCCACTCGGTGTTCCCACTGCCGCCCTCCAGCATCGGCTACCATGGCTCCATTGTAGGCGCTTACGCCGGCTACCCGTCTCAGTTCGTGCCTGGCCTGGATCCCAGCAAGTCTGGCCTCGTGGGAAGCCAGCTGTCGGGGGGCCTGGGTCTGCCCCCCGGCAAGCCCCCCAGCTCCAGCCCGCTCACCGGGGCCTCCCCGCCCTCCTTCCTGCAGGGATTATGCCGCGACCCCTACTGCCTGGGAGGTTATCACAGCGCCTCACACCTTGGTGGCTCTAGCTGCTCCACTTGCAGCGCACACGACCCGGCCGGGCCCAGCCTAAAGGCGGGGGGCTACCCGCTGGTGTACCCCGGGCACCCGCTGCAGCCCGCCGCGCTGTCCTCCAGCGCCGCCCAGGCCGCACTCCCGGGCCACCCGCTCTACACCTACGGCTTCATGCTGCAGAACGAACCACTGCCGCACAGCTGCAACTGGGTGGCGGCCAGCGGGCCTTGCGACAAGCGCTTTGCCACCTCGGAGGAGCTGCTTAGCCACCTGCGGACTCACACGGCCCTACCGGGCGCAGAGAAACTTCTGGCCACTTACCCTGGGGCCTCCGGCCTGGGCAGCGCCGCCGCCGCAGCCGCCTGCCACCTGCACCTCCCCCCACCCGCCGCCCCCGGCAGCCCCGGGTCGCTGTCCTTGCGGAGTCCACACACTTTGGGGCTAAGCCGGTACCACCCCTATGGCAAGAGCCACTTATCCACAGCGGGGGGCCTGGCCGTGCCTTCCCTCCCCACAGCTGGACCCTACTACTCGCCATATGCGCTGTACGGACAGAGACTGGCGTCAGCCTCTGCGCTCGGATACCAGTAACCACGGCTCTGTCCCCACCCAACCCTCGGACCCCTCCTCCCTGTCCCTGTGCCTCCGCTGCAGCCTCCACTATTGCTTCTCCCTGCCAGGACCCCTGCCCCACCCTGCCCACCGGACTGTGTATTTATTTACTATTGTGTTAGCTTACAAGCTGGGAATATAAGTGCATTAACAGCCCACACAAGTCAGTGGTATGCAAAAAGTCTTTGTTCCCCCCCAAATAATGATATTAACCACACAGAACTACTCCCTACCGCCCCACCCCTCTTCCTTCCTTTTATTTTTCCCCTCTTAGGCATAAGTTTTAAGCTTTTCTTCCCTTTATGATTTGATTTGGGGGAAAGAGGGAGCATTGGGGTTCTTAAGTTCTTCTGTATGTTTTTCCTGTCCTGGGGAATTTCTTGCATGAATCTTAACCATTCAAACTACATTTCCCTTTTTCCCCTTCATTCCCTCTTGTTTCCTTCCATTTGAGGTTCTGTGTTTTGGTTTTGGTTTTGTTTTTTTCTTTTGTACAAGTAGTGGAGAGGAGTTTTGGACAGCAGTTTGGGGGTTGGAGGAATGAACTTGGTGGCTGGAGGTCTTGAGCTCTATTGACCTTCCCCAGCAAACCCCCTCTCTGAGGGCCTTGGTTCCCCCAACCTTGCTTGATCCCACAGCAGGCTTCCGCATAGAGGGTCCAGTGGCTGGGGACTGAGCCTGTCTGTCCACACACCCGGTAGTCACACTGCCCACTTGTGGGAAGTTCTGGGGCTCGTGTTCATTAAAAGTCCTAGAAGGCCCCACTGGCCTGCAACTTTGCTCGTTCTGTTTTGCGAAGTGCTTTATCGTCATTGTTTTTTCTCTTCCTGATGGGGCTGTGACCCCCACTCCCTGGGCTGTGGGACGGGATCCTTGCTGGATCCTCCACATCCACAGACAGGATGGTGCACCCTTGTTAGCAATGTACGGGGGAAAGTCGGGGACTCAGGGAGCGCTCTGCCCGCAGCAACCCCGCGCCCCCTTCCAGGCTGACCCAGCAATCCCCAAAGTTGGCCTTGAAGGGCCCTGGGTCTCATCCTACCCTCCCTCCCTCCCTCCAGCAGCGGCTGGGCTCGGGCCTGTTTGGGATGAATAGAGCTCTCCCTTGGTAAGACTTATTTTGTTAATAAATGGAATACTTGGCTATATTCACACCGTGGTGTGTTTTTCTCTTGCCTCACCCACCGCCCCTTTACCAGACATCTAAGCAGATGCCCTTCTTTTATTCTGTTTAAAATGCCTTAAGGCTTCCTTTTGAGATTGCTGTTTGAGTTTAAGCCTTTCCTGAAAAGGGGGAAATGGGGAGAAAAAGCTTCAGACAACGTTAAAATCCCTTTAACCCCCACCCCGGTGATCTAGCTCCCAGCCTCACTTTGAAGGCCTTGACACTTGCTAGGACCAGAGTGGAGAGCATGTGTAAAACTGGATCTCCCTCTGAGCCCAGATAGGAGGTCCAAGGGGCTCAGAAGGCAAGGACTGAGGCATCAGGCAGAGACCTGCAGTAGCCTCGTCCGGAGTTCGGCGGGAAGGTGCGCAGGTACGGCGTGCCTCTGGCGCCATCTAGTGGCGAGAAGACGAGCGACAAGCGGGGAGAAGCCGCGGCGGGCTCCAGCCTCCGCTGCATCTGTAGTTTCCCATCCCCTAAAATTGGACGATTTCTACTTGCTGTGTTTTTTCTAATGGGGAGAGGTCCTGTCTTGAGTGTCTAAATACACTTGCTGAGATGCTAGTTTCGCAAGGCCCGGGGGATGGCCCCTTGTGCTGGGTTATTCTCTTTCTTGAGATTGGCAGCTGACAGTGGCTGCTGTATCCCAGGGAGGGGAGGATTGGGGTGCCTTACAGTGGGTGTGGGAGCCCACTGCGGCGCGCGCGGCCCCTGCGCCCCCTCCCGGCCGCGCCGCTCCCGTGGGCCTCAGGGTGTCCGCGCTGTGCTGCTTCCTTCTGCTGTGAGGGCAGCGACTTCTCAGGGAGTTTGTGTTCCGCAGACTGCGCGTTTCTGAAAAGTGTTGCCGCGTGCGTGCGTGCGGAAGGGGCAGGGGAGCTGCCTGTCTTGCTGCTTGGCCGGCCCACAAACTCGACGACAGAAGTGCGGGGCGGGGGCCGTGACACGTGGGGTGGCTGAGTCCTCCCCTCAGGACTCCACAAAACCTCAGCATAAAATGTAACAGATCATTGTATCCGTGCAGAATTCCTCCCTCGGTCAAGAAAACATCGGGAATCTCTTTGCAGTGTCAGTGCTGGAGGGGCCTGGACCGCCTGAAGCTCGGGGGACCCGAGTTGGGGACTGGCTAAAAGGATGGGAAAGTCGCTCTGAGACCAGCCCAGGGTCCTCCTGGGGAATCAGCCCTGTCCGGTTGCTCAGAGTCCAAAAATATGAACGTGTCCTTTATTTTTTCCTTTACGGGTGTTTGGTTTGCTGTTTCTTTCCATCTTTTCCTCTACCCTTCCGCAGGCACCCTTTTTGTTTCTTTCTATGCCTGCGAAAACAGATGGGAATGGAATTGCTCCCTCTGCTGGGGACTTAAACTTCTCCCTCTCCTACTCTTCATTCCTTCAGACCTCCCTCCCTACGGCCAGAAGGGCTTCTCTCTTTGGCCAGGGAGTCAGGGAGAGGTATCTCCCACAACAAATTCTCCGTTGAGCAAAAGAAACTTTTCTAATGCTTCTGGGCTTACACCTTAGCTGTAGGAATGCAGGTCAGAACATTGGAGACAAGCGCAAAATCTATATTAGAGCGCCTGTGGAGGCTGGCCCTGCTTGGGTTAAGCTGCCCCCTAACTACCTTCTGGCCTCCAAAAGGAAAGTAACTTAGTCTTGGGTGTGAGCCGTCTTACCCAGAAACCTCAGCTCTGTCCTCCCATAATTGGAGACCTTCCGATGAAACGTGGCTGTTTTAATTAGCTAGTGGGGAGTTTGTTACTTTCAATAGGTTAATTCCATTAACCGAAGTTGCCATTTTAATCAAGAGGGTACTCCTCCACTGACTGCTGATCTGCATAATTAACTCTTTCTTTGAGAGTTCCTTCTACCTTCTATGTCTCTGCCTTTCTCTTCGAAGCCCTCCTCCTCCTCTTTCCTCCTAATCTCTCCCAGCTGCCAGAAAAGGGGCCTGTGTTACCAAGGCATACAGGGTGCAAGCCCCCGAGCTGGAAAGTGAGACCCTGGATGTTCCTGGCTCCAGATCCTATTTTTACACCTCTTGTGGGGTTATTTTTGTAGCCCTATGGGCTGCGGGGAGAGCAGAAGAGGAGAATGAATGGGCTCACCCCCAGGTGTAGGTTTGATTTAATCAGAATTGCATGGTATTCCCAACCATCCACCTGCAGGCCCAGCTCCTAAAAACTCCACAGCCCGTGGGGGAGCTGCGGGGCCCCTTGCCATCTTTCTGCAGCCAGAATGGCCTTGCCCTGCCTGCACACTGCAATGGTGTCTCACAAATGTATGAACTAACTTCCTCCTAATGTATGTCTGGGTTACTGTGGAATTCGTCTTACAAAAATCCTGCAGCTCTGCACTTTATTAGTCATTCTGTAGGGGAAGCTGCACTCCAGTTTTCTGTTTGATTTGATTTCATTCATCCTGTCTTTTTGCAAAATAGATGGTTGAGTGCATCCGATAATGTATGGTTTAATTTGGAGCACTATGGGTTTGAATTACCATTTTCATAATGTGCTGTGCATTAATGTGTTACATCATTTATAAAGAGGAATGTGCTGGGTTTCAAACTTTCTCCTGAAATTCAAAGTCATCTAAAAAGAAAGCCAAATCACACCAACCCATCTTCCTACCTCCCTGCCGGAGAAACTCCCTGCCTCCCTGACCTGGGTTAAATCTGCCAAAGCTCCCCAGGCTCAGTATGGGGGTTGTACTCATGGACCACTGGTGGGTGTCGAGGTTCCAGGGGACTGAGCACATGGCTTCCCCCAGAGCGCCTGTGGAGTACAAAGCTCCCCTCATTATGGCCTAACAACAGCCTGGAAGCTGGCCTGGCTTGCGCTTGCAGAGACCTCCAGTGGATGGCTCTCTGCTGCCCCGGTCCCGGTGCTCCCTCCCTGATGGCTGTAATAACACCAGCTGTCTGTTACTCAAACTCTGACTGAGGAGGAAAAAGCACTGATTATCCAAATACAGTCATTAAAGGGGAAATGTGTTTTTAGGACTGTCAGAGTGATTAATGAGGGCTAGCAGTCTTTGCAAATGCACTTGTTTAGTCTAACTGGCAGCTTCTATTTTCCTATTGATTTATTGCAGCCGTTGCCGGGCCTCGGTGTGTGCGAAGTCAGGGCACTTCACAACTGCGCCCTGTTTAAACAGGAAAAGCATGCACCATTTTGTCAGGGAGGAGGGAGCAGCCCAAAGTCTCTCCCTTCAGTTCGGTCCCCAGGGGCCCAGACCAACAAAGAAGACATTAAAAACCTGCAGCCCAGAGAGGGAAGGAAACTGCCTCTCTGGGTCTTCCCCAAGGTCAGTGGAACCTTGCCAAGGCCAAAGGTCCTCCTAGTGTGACCCTCAGCTTGATGCATCTTTCTCCTGTCCCTCCAGCCCAGCTGTGCAAGGACAGGAAAGGGCCCCAGCAGAGCGAGAGACCAGCTGAGGAAAGCAGAGGCCAGGCTGCCCTGTGGTCCAGTGAGAGGTGGGTGCACTGTGCTGCCAGACACCACTGGGGACTTCTACTTTCAGAAAGTTTGGGGCAAACTGTGAAAGTGCTATCTATTCCTTTCCACTAGTACATTGCCTGTCTGGATACATGGGGTATCTGATGACCAAAGCAGAGAATCCACAGCTTCAAAAGAGTCCTGAGTATTTGGGGATTATAGTTCCAGGTGGGCAGTTGTTGAGGCAAATGGAGTTTACAGAATTCCCAGAATATGCCCAGCACCATGCTGGGTGCCATGAAATAAAGAAAACTCAGGCTAATTTCCCGCCCAATTTATCTGGGGGAGACAAGACACACCAGCCATCCAGGAAGTGAGATAGTGTTATACATAACTGTACTTGTGCGGACCTGATAAAGTACTAGGTCACACTGTGCAGATTATATCCTGGACCAGATGTAATCAGGTGCTAATTGTGCAGATCAGATGGTTGAGCTGTAGGAGGGAGAGCTCTCAGGCTGGTGGAAGGGGTGGGGGGTCCCCAATTCTTGGTAGGCCTGTCCTCTTTTGAAGGCCGATAGATGGGTGAGGCCTTCATCCTATAGTGGTAAGAGGGCTAGACTTGAGCACCTGAACCAATAATACCCAATTTTATAGCAGGTAGAGGTGCAGGCTTAACAAATGCTATTCACAGCACACCTGAGCTTTTGAACACAGAGTCCCTAATCAGCCTGAGTCTTCCAAATAGCACTCCAGGTATGGAAATAGCTGGTGCTTCTTTCTGAAAGAAGTCTCTTTCCAGGTTTTCCCAGGGTGGCAGTGTATCACTAGTGTTATTAGTACTTCCTAGCTGTCAGTGGATTATAAAATAGTTACTTTCTCTTCTTCTCTCAACCTGTAGATTTGACTTCTTTTCTGGTAAGATCCTCAGTTCACCTGTGATCCAGAATCCACAGACAGCTAGTATCCCTATATTTTGGCAAACTTTAGGACTATTCTGGAAAGTATAGACTGCCTTGTCATTATGCAGGTAGTAGAAAAAGCATTGAAATGGAAGTCTGAGAACCTAGATTTTGTTCTAGGTATAAAACCTGATTATTGTGTAACCTTCAACAAGTCACTTAGTCTCTCTGAAACTTCCTCATTTCTAAAATGAAGTTCTTGGGCCCTAAAATCATTTGGCCCTTTCTAACTGGAATATTCTTTTTTTTTTTCTTTCCTTTTTTTTTAAGAAACAGAGTATCAGCATGCTGCCCAGGCTGGCCTTGAACTCCTAGGCTCAAGTAATCTTCCTGCCTCAGCCTCACAAGTACCTAGGACTACAGGCATGTACCACCACACCCAGTTTCTATGAATTTATAAAATATTTAAAGAGTCAAGGTCATGATGATTGGAGTTAGTTAAAATTCCTACCAGAGCTGGGGGTGCAGAATGTGTGCTGGGCTCCATATACACAGTACTCATTCAGTCAGGCAGTCAGTAAAGTTGCTATCAGGGCAGCAAACGTGGATGGGTCAGTAACAGAAGTGCCATGACCTCTCCTCAGGAATAAG